AAAGTCATATACACCTAGGATGACTTGAGGATGAGTAATTTATGGGCTAATTTTCATTTTTGGGTGAACTAACCCTTTAACGTGGCTGTGTATAGACACCTTTACTGCTCTGTCTGAGCCAGCAGAAAAAAAAAATGTTTTATGAGCCCTGCAACTGCTGACATCTATAGTTTAGCATAAGAATATCACTAGAGGAAATACTATCATTTAAATTGTCACAATGAACTACTAGATCAATTCTTTTATTGACAGTGAAACAATAATGAAGTGTCTCAACCAAAACATTGCTGCTAGTGATGCAGAAATAAAACACTTCACCTTTAAACACTAAAAAACTAAGACTTACCAGCAGATCCTGCACTAGTGCCTTCACATTCCGAGATGTTTCCGGCGAGGGGGAATTATGGGATGCCAGTTTGATAAGCGTTGCTAGGAAGTTCTTGCACTTCTTTACATTCTCTTGCATTTCCTGAAATGAAAAATTCCAGTATTTTATAATAAATAATGAAATAGAATCCATGTCCACCAATAGTAAGTGACATTATGAATGAAAACAGTTTAGCACTACCTGAGAGAGGATAGGGGCTCGGTTAGCTGGGGCAGCAACAGAGGTGGTGATGGGACTCTGAGGGGTCACAGAGGGCTTGAGGACTGTCTGCGGTGCAGGCTGCACACGGGCCCCTGCTGTAATGACTGTGGTGGTGGGCTTCTGAGCCGAGGTAATTGTTACCACTGCTGTCTTTTGCTACAAAAGTAAAAGCCAAGCCGAGTTAAGGACTGTTTCAAGTGGTTTGTGCACCACGACAAAAATAAATGTTTTGCCCAAGCTTTCAGTTTGAACTGTAGTTTGAAGTAATACAATAAACAACACATTTAAAGAACGGTTCAGCCAAAAATGAAAACTCCCATGATTCACCCACTTTCACATCATTCCAATCCCATATGTTGTCTTTTTTTTTTCAGCAGAACAGACAAAACAATAATTACCAAAGAATAATTTACGCAGGTATTTTTTATTCAATGGAAGTTCACCACAGGTTGTTGTTAAACTTCAAAAAGGGCAAAAAAGCATTTTTAAAAAAGCAGAAAGTACTCGATTTATGTGCCAGTTACCAAATCTGAGGACATTTGATAGTCTTGTGTGATTAACAGAAGCGAATCAAATAAGATGTCATGTTTGGTTACAAGCCACTCGAGAAATGATGTTTGTTGTTACTGTCATGCAACCTGCGCAACATTTGATTTGACTGTAAAATCAGGATGAGATTATCTGCAAATAAATCACTTACATTTAAGCCTTTTCACCACACAAAGCTATCATATGGTTTCAGAACACTTCAAAGGTCATATGGACTCATTTAAAGGTGATTTTACTTTGGAACAACACAGGAGAACCATTTCATTTAATTCAATTTCACTGCATGGAAAAAAAGATGCAATGAAAGTGGCAACAGAGATGGTCTTTCTTTATAGTTATCATTTTAGTAATTCACTGCTAAAACAATATTATGATGCAACAAGAGTTTCAAATGCTTTGAGATGACCTGTCTTGCTCATACCTGGGCAACAGGTGTAGTGACTCTGAAAGCCGTTCCAGCAGTGGGTGTAGCAGGTCTCGGTGACAGGGTGCCTTTATTTTGGTTCTGAGCTTTGGCCTGGGCTAGGACCTGCTGAGGAACCAGGGCCAGCTGACCGGCCTCCGTGCGTACCAGCACCATACCTTAAGAAGAACATAGGGAAAAATTCAACAAATCATATAGGAGTAATTAAAGGAAAAAGTAGTAACATTACTTCACTTATTACACTCATGTCATTCCAAACCATTATGACTTACTTACTGCTATGGAACTTAAAAGATATTTTGAAAAATGTGCAGCCACATTAGCAAAATTTTGCAGGCCAAAAATGTATATCCTGTCAATAATTTAGTGATTTATGAAGCACAACTCACACAGAAGTCACTTTCAGACCAACTTTGTTGGTCAACGCAGCAAATCCACACGACCAACTTTTGCCAAATTGTTTGCCCTCACATGGAAATCCCAATTGTGGGGATTCCTTTGGAAATGACTGGATTTAGCATGTGAGCATTTCGCAAAGCTATGGTAAATGTGACCATAATCATTAAAGTTTTTTGATTCCACAAAAAATTTAAGTCAATGGGGTCTAGTCTTATTTTGGACCCCATTTACTTTCAGCACAAAAATATTCCTCAATGATATCTAATTTATGTTCCAAAAAAAAAAAAAAAATTCCGGTTTACAACATTAGGGTGACTAAATGATGACAGAATTTCTATTTTTGGGTGAATTGTCCCTGTAAACCCCTCTTTGTTGTAGCTGGTCCCCTTATAACTTCCCAAGGTTTTACCTGGAGGTATGGTGAATCCCGGCGGTAACTGAATGGTAGTTTGTTGCTGAGGTCTGACGATCAGCTGGGTCGTAGGAGCCCCCTGACGCTGTGGGGGCGCCACAGTTGCTGTGCCCTGAATGGGCGTCCCGGGTCTCAACAGGGTCGTAGGCTGTCCTACGAGAGCAGTCGTCGCTGGCTTTGCAAGGACAGAGGGCGTGCTTGCCACAGAAAGTGAGGTCACCACTGGACTGGACGACACTATAATCTGAGTGGGTGTGCTGGGGTGCAACCCTACGGGAGTCCCGGGAAGCTTGTTCGGGACGATGGCTTTCATCTGGTTTTGAAGGTCAGATTTGGGCTCTGTGTTTGTGAATGTCACGGAGGTGGGCACAAGACCGGCACCCTGCACGGGCAATCCTGAGACTTTGGGATCACCTCCGTTGTGTACGACACTTGTGATGGTGCTAGGAGGCCTGTGCAGTGCTATGGTGGGGTTTGCTTGACTATCTAGTGACACATTCGCATGTGGCAGTGTGCTGTTGGGCTGAGCGGACACAAAAGCAGTATTTGTACTAGTAGGAGCAGACATGTTGCTTTTACCACTACCTACACCTGAACCAATGTCAATACCGTTTACAGAAGCAGGAGCAGAAGCGATAACAGAAGAGTTTATCGTGCCACTGCTTCCGTTCACAGTCTGTATTCTGGCGGGAACCGTCCGGACAGCAGACGAAATGTGATTTGTATTGGGGTGAGAGTCTGTAGGTGCTGCGTCACTTGAACAAGTTGATGGATTTGATGAATGATATTGCACCCGGTTCGCGGCTGTAACCAAATTCGCAGAGGTACTAGGCAGGTTCGAGGTGGACGGGACAGAACTGGACCCCGGTATCCTGTCCGGACCGTTTTCTTGAGAGTTTCCCTCCTGGTTTCGCTCTGGCTGCCGCTGCTGCTCCTGTGTTGTTCCTACTTGTACGGCCAGTAATTTCCCCAAGTGTGGATTTAGCGCGTTTGAGGGTCTCCTGATGTCGCCTTGAGGACCGACCGCCTTGTTCTGTCCACCCAACTGCGATTCTAACGAGCCTACGAGGTCACTGACGGCTTTTTCGTCCACTTCGGAGTAGAGCATATCTTCCAGTGGATCGGGGACGCCCGCCATCTTTGATAGACGCTTTAGAAATGCGCACGGCGCGTGCGTTGTTTTGCTGCTGAGGCATTGTGGGAAACGTAATGACATCATGGGCAAGATTTGCAGCTGTTTTCATAAGTCTGTCATATCTGGAATCAAATTTGGAAACTACATATATATATAAACGTAATATGATTCAATAAAAAATAAATTACATTTTAATAACTAAATGTACATTCAAATTTAAATATATTTAAAAATACGTTTAAATAATAAATATATTTATATTTTTGGGGATGATAGTTGTAATATTTAAATATTCGAATACAGATATCCAGTTAAAAGTATATATTGAATATTTGTGTGATTTGTGGTTATTAATAAAATAAGGTATTGTCTTTATTTTTACCATTTGGTATACGCATATATATAAACGTAATATGATTCAATAAAAAATAAATTACATTTTAATAACTAAATGTACATTCAAATTTAAATATATTTAAAAATACGTTTAAATAATAAATATATTTATATTTTTGGGGATGATAGTTGTAATATTTAAATATTCGAATAAAATCAAATACATTTCTATTAAACTCATGTATAAATATCTTCAATAGTTATATTGATAGATGCAGAAACATAGTTTTATAGTTTCATACATTTTTGGAGTTGTCCTCATTCGGCTTGTTTTGGGTCAGATTTCTGTTGTATTTTATTAAGGATCACATAGTGCTCATCTTTAAAAAATGTATTTACAGGTTTTTTCAATTATGACATGTCTTATAATGAATATTATTTAAATAACATGCTACTTCTATTAGCTAAAGTCAGTATACATAAATGTAAATATGGGGGAAATAAGCCTGTTTCTAATTGTAAAGGCCGAAGTTCAACAATATCTAAAAACAATATTAAGAAAATTAAGAAAGCTGTAAAATTTTAACATTTACATTTTTTAAACATTGTTTATCCTAATGTACCTCTTGACTGTATTTATAAATCTTTAAACAACAAACAAACAAAAAGAAAACATCTGATTCTTGGCCTTCCCTTTGTAACTGAAACAGACTCACTTGTTAAATGTTTTTATTATATAAAAAAATATGTTTTTCTTTCCTTAATTTTTTTCTCATTTATATAATTGGAACTTGTATATATATATATATAATGCACACATATATGCTATTTTTATAGGTAAAACTGTATCTGCTAAAAGTCTGTTATGGACATTTGTTGACTTGTGGAATAAGGCTTAGAGAATTTTGTGGAAAAAAATTTACATGCAATTTTGGGGGTCGATATGACGGTTTAAGCTTTTGTCTTGACCCTGTATAAATAATATCAGAAATAAGAGTTTAGTTTGGAAAGCTTTGATTAGTAATATGATGTCTACCTCTAAACAGATTAAACTTTGCGTAAATACAACGCAACAGTGAGTTTTCTGGTGTCTGGTTCATGTGCAGATCACGTGGTACAGAGCTGGACCAATAGAATTGCGAGTCGTGTTGTACGGCCCAAATATTAAAAACACGAGCATCTTTTGATCATTTTTAACGGTGCTGTCAGCGAGAGTGAGTACAAGCGCTAAATATGGTGAAATTTGCGTCTTATTATTAATTGTTTGAATTAATGTGGCATGTTTTAATAATGCGAATATGTCTAAAGATCTGTTGTTGATAATGCGATAGAGTTAGATGAAAATCAGACGTCATGTTCATGTTAGCAAGCTGGCTAATCGAGCTCATCAGTCTTATGAAAGTTGGTTTCGAAAGGCGTATTGCTGGGAGTTTCTAATATCTCATTCTTAATAAATGAAACAATATAAAGGAAATATAGTAGAATACATAATATTGCCAAAGAAATCGCAAAATAGATATTGTACATAACGTTACACTGGCAAAAGCAATATTCTAAACAATCTGATAAAAAAATTAAAAAACAGTTATGTTCTACAATGTTATTAAATAGTTTAAAGTATCATTTTTTAATTCTTTATTATGATGTTTAAAACGGCAAAACTGCTGTTAACTAAGGAGGCGTGGTGCATCATGAATATTATTATAAACAGCAGGTTGAAAATACTTTGGATAATTCCCACTATACAAATAAGTGAAATTGCATTTGTTTATTTTTTATTTAATAATTTATTTTTTGAAATATATATACAGATTCCTTCTAATGTATTATTACAATGTTATTAAGAGGTGTAGATCATATCTATGTATTAGTTTAGTGTTTAGACATGTTTAACTCACAAAATCCTGCTCTCTCTTCCATCCTCTTATCAAACAGCCAGAAACATGGCCATGGCACAGTCAACACTGATGTTCGCAGTGTGCATCTTGATGATAACTGAACTCATACTGGCCAGAAAGGACTACTATGACATCCTCGGTGTGCCAAAAGATGCTTCCGAACGTCAGATCAAAAAAGCTTTTCACAAGCTTGCCATGAAATATCACCCAGACAAGAACAAGAGCCCCGATGCTGAAACCAAATTTCGAGAGATTGCAGAAGGTGGGTTATATATACACTACCTGTCAAAAGTTTGTGATAATTAAGAATTTTTCATGTCTGTGTAAGTAGTCACTAATGCTCGCCATGGCGGCATTTATTTGATTGTAATAATATTTCACAATATAAAATTTATTATCATGTAAAATAATTGTTTTCTATTTTAATATATATAAAAAGTTTTTCCTGAATTTTCAGCACCATTACTCCAGTCTTCAGTGTCACATGATTCTTCAGAAATCATTCAGATATGTTGGTTTGATGTTCAGTTATTATCAGTTATTGTTGGTGCTCAAGTATAAATAATGGTTTTTATTATTATCAATGTTGAAAACAGTTTTTCTGCTTAATATTTTTGTGGAAACCATGCTACTTTTTTCAGGATTCTTTGATGAATAGAAAGTTCAAAACAACAGCACTTAGAAATATATTATAAACGTCTATGCCATGACAGGAAAAAAATTGCACTTTAATATACAGTATATTAAAATAGAAAACAGTCATTTTAATTTGTAATATGTAAGTAACTAAGTATTTTTGTTCAAATAAATGCAGCCTAAAAAAATTTATTAATCCAAACTTTTGTTGTTTAAAGCAAAGATTCCTCGAATTGTTCAGTCTGATATGCATAATTTTTAACTCGTTCTGCAGCATATGAAACACTATCAGATGAGAAAAGAAGGCGAGAGTATGACCAATCAGGACACAATACATTCAGCCATGAAGACATGAATGGAGGAGGAGGGCAGCGTTTTCATCAATCCTTTGATTTTAACTTTGATGACATGTTCAGAGACTTTGACGTCTATAGCCAAAACAGGCACGCTCGCCCAAAACGGCACTTTGATGAGCACTTCAGGGCCCACCAGCAAGCACACAACCGCCATAAGAGACACTTCCAGGGTACTTTTGGCTCCGGAGTCTTTGAGGACATGTTTGAAGACATGGAGAAGATGTTTGCATTTGACCGACACATGAAAAGGACAGAGAGCAGGTTTCAGGGCACAGCCAAACAGCACTGCAGAACAGTGACGCAGCGAAGAGGAAATATGGTCACCACGTACACTGACTGCACCTCATCCTGAACATCAGAGTGGGCCACAGATTGGACCATCACACTTTTATTTTTATGCCTGATTTAGATGGAGACATGGAGTTATTAATTTGCTGCTGTGATAAGTGGGGTTTGATTTTACATGTGACTGATCTGTTATTTATGATGAGAATGGGTGCATTTGTTTCCATTGGTTTGACTGAGATTTATAATTGACACTATGTTGGATAGTGGCCTCTTAAAGGAATAGTTCACCTCAAAATGAAAATTTGAAATGTACTCACCCTCAGGCCCCATACAAGATGTGGATGAGTTTGTTTCTTCATGGGAACAGATTTGGAGAGATTTAGCATCACAACACTTGCTCACCAATGGATCCTCTGCAGTGAATGGGTGCCGTCAGAACGAGAGTCCAAACAGCTCATAAAAACATCACAATAATCAACATGTAATCCACACGACTCCAGTCCATCAATTAATGTCCTGTGAAATGTCTGTGTGTTTGTAAGAAACAAATCCATCATTAAGGTGTTTCAGCTTTAAACCGCCGCTTCTGGCTAAAATAGACCATGAACCATAATAACGTTTCCTCCGGTAAAAAAGGTCCGTCCCCTGTTGTCCTCTCACATCAAAATCCACTGCATATTTGTTTAAAATAGTTTTGGCTTGTAAACAGTGATTGATCTGTGCATTTCTTTCCCAACTCAGACTAGGTGACTTTTTCACTTGAAAAAGCAGTATTATAAAAAGGACTTGTATTTTAGCTGGAAGCAACGGTTTGAAGTTTAAAACGTCTTATTGATGGATTTGTTTCATACAAACATGCAGCTTTTCACTTCACAAGACGTTAATTGTTGGACTGGAATTGTGTACTGGGGTGTACATCGTGATGTACTTTTTTGAACTTCTATTCTGACGGCACCCATTCACTGCAGAAATGTACATTTTCAGCATATTTAGATTTTTTGGATGAACTGTTCCTTTATTAACCTCAGAGTCTAGTTCTAGGTTTTTGATGAGTTTGTTTTCATCCCTGCAGCACTAAATTTAAAAAATGGCCATTAATTTATGAATAACAAACTACATTTGATGACACTCTTATATTAGTGTGCATTTGTTTAAATTGCACTTTCTTAAACATATGAAACAATTTGTTATTCGCACAAAAATTCTGTTTCATGCCTGGTTAGCTACTAATATCCCCTACTCTACTGAAAGAACGAATGTGCTGAAATCCTGAATCATGATTTGATGAAAACATCAGACAGACAGTTTAGCTCTTCCATTATCTTCTCTACTTATCCAAGGTTGTATATTTTGTTGTAGTGTTGGTGCAGCTGAAGGCTCATGGTATGAGTCTTTGGGATTCACATCTTCATGAACTGGTCTCTTATTTTTATGTGAAGCTTAACAAATGTTTGCTGCATTGCCGTGAATAATATAGTTCATTATATTGAAGTAGTTTCTTTCAAACTAACACTTATTAGATAGAAAGGTGCCTTCCCACTCATTGTGGTAGATTGATTTTAATGTAATCAGATTGGAGCACTTTTATGACCTCGTGTGTTATAGTTTGCATGGCTGAGAGAAAGTAGGTCTCAGTGTTTTGTTTTTTGTTTTGTTTGTAACAAAACATAAGAGTTGAGATTGATTTATATGGCAGTTACCCCTAAAAAAAAAAGACAAGGGGAATGTACCAACTTAGCATTTGCCTGACAATGTTTTTTGTAAATACAATGTATAACCCAGCTGTGTTCCTGTATGACTTCACCTGTGACCTGTTTTGTCGAATAATCCTGTGTGCAATATTTAAAGGCAGCTCTCATGTTGTTTTAACTGTTACCCGCTGACATAGTTGTTATGAAATGAGTCTCGGTAGACTCATGATCTGGCACTTTCTTTATTGTAATCCCATGGATGAAAAGTAATAGTAAATAGGCTGTTCGAACCCAGATGTATGTATACTTGGGTTAACAATAAATAGTGTTGAAAACTATTTGTTTGATGGCATTTTTCTTTTCATAAAACATTTATTTTGTTTTATGAAGTACCCACATTTTTAGTACCCTCAGTAAACTTGAATGGATATAACATTTTGATTGTAATATACATATGTAGATGCTTAATATATCAAATAGATAGAACGTGGGATAGAAAGAGAAACAGACATATACAATTATTAATGTTACTGAGGAAGTTTGAAACAGTCTTGCTCAAAACCCATTTTTACATATTTATTAAATTACTTTAACGCCTTAACTGTCACTCACATTTTTGAACATAGACGTGAAAGTGCACGATCCAAACTTAAATTTTTATAATTCATGAACGAAAACATTTTGTAACATGATATTGATGTACCATTTTCATGGTAATGCAATGTTTGATTTTAAAATGGGTTTCAAAGGATGAATTTTGAGATTTAAAGTTTTCAATTGATATATAATTTCTGATGATTTCTAAAGTGTGATAGAGAAAAAGGTAACAAAGAAGACTTTTTTTTGACAAAGATCAGAACTCCTGTTATGATGTAGATTTTTGAGGTGCACTCTTGTCATAAATTAATCTATTACTTTTCCTACATCATTTTTTAACAAAAACATTGGTAAAATATCTATTTAGGAGTCTTAGATCTTTCCAACGATATATAGTTTGTCATGATTAGATTAGGATTTAATTGTAATATAGTGAAGTAAACTTAGGCGTCCCACAGAGGGGACGGGTGACAGGAAATTAAACAATACTGACGTTTTTTTATTTTTTTTATTTTATTTTTTACAAATGTTAAATTAAAAGGCTCTCAAATCCTGATATTGATTAAAAATATGATATTGATAAATGTAAATGTAAGTGGCTTTATTTATGTATGTATTTATTTATACAAAAGTACATATACAAAAAAAAAAGATGTATAGTTGTTCAGATAACAACATGGTGCTATATATTAATAGCACCACGTGCCTACTTGTGTCATAATTTATGTAATACTGCCACTTTAACTATGTTCAGCGCTACCTCACCCAAAACATGTTTTCCTGAATATTTTTGTTGCACCCCATACGGTTGCCTTGGCGCATTCACTCAGAACAATGCTTGGAAATGTAGTTTATTTCCAGAAAATTCAAAAGTGGGTCAACAGCTGTTGTGTCGTGTAAAACTACAAGTCCCACAATGCACCAATACACCGGTGCGCAGTTTTTCCGCGGCCGGGTTGGTTCATGGTGCGACTGTGAGGGACATTGGATGACTTTGTGCCGTGTTTAGCCGGGGTATTCGCCTTAGTTCATTCATTTTGACAGGGGAAGAGGTCGTCAACGCGATGGAGGCTCTTATTCCTGTCATTAACAAACTCCAGGATGTTTTTAACACAGTCGGGGCGGATATTATCCAGCTGCCTCAGATTGCAGTGGTGGGAACGCAGGTAACGTTAATGTTTCAGTTGCGGTTTCCATTCAGATTGAAACAGGTCTATGGCAGTGTCTCAAAACCTAGTGAGGTACCTACCTAGACTTCATTTTTGGGCGCCAAAGTTCCGATGGTATCTAAAGTTCGAGCGCGCCTATGAAGCCCCCTAACTAGGCAGTTCACTTGTTTTGAAACACAGCCTAGTATTTAGCTATTATTTTTTTCAAAATTACATATGGCAAGGTCAACGACAAATAAACGAATGTCGCATTAAATATACCGAAAATTAAGACTAAAATCAAAATCTGTAGCGAGCTTTAAAATAATGTTACCAGCGCTATCCAGCTAACTAGCGTGCTAACTCAAGCCCTCGCTTGTTTCCTCATTCCTATTTCAATAATTGACTTCACGGGCATATTATATGAAAATTTCTACTGTTAGGTATATGTTTATGTTTTAACAGTGTGAGCAATATCACAACGTGAGTTTTAGAGTTGTGCTGATCTCAGTACAGCAGCTAACAGATGAAGAGATGTGCCATGATCGGTCTGAACCTGACAGTTCAGGCAGCATGTTTGAACTGAACAGCTGCAGCAGGAATCATTCTACAAGGACAAAACGGGTGAAAAGGATTGTGGATCTTTTCCATCCTGAAATTACACAAGATATCTGCATCATTTCATTATGGAAGTATTGTATACTTGATAGTGTTGTAATAAAGACCTTTAATGGAAGTAAACCAGAGATTGACTCATGAAGTAGAGGAGTTTCCTACTGTCTGCCACATACACTTAAGGTCTAACAAGTTTAAAGAGTCTTAAAGTAGGGACTTTCACTGACCGCTTAAGAGGATATGGCTGTCTGGGTGGCCAAGAAAGTATTGTTAACCCTGTAAAGCCTGACATATGAAATAAAAACTAAGTAAAGTTTGCACATGTGTTTCTTTTTTTATTTAATTAATTAATTAATTTTTTTGTATCATATTTGATACATCAGGCTTTTATGGCTCATATAGTATGATATAGTGAGAATATGGAGCTCACCCTCAATCTGTCAAACTGAGCAAAATATGCAATTTGATGCAGATGTTATTATTTATATAGGTAAAAATGTAGGATTAAATACTGATAGTTTATAATGAGATTATTTAAAACAGTATATCAGACTATTCAAATGCATAAAAATATCAATTGTCACTATCAATTGTCACTCTATATCTCCCAATAATATTTCTTAGTATGTTGATATTTAAATGTTTAGTTTAATGATCAAAGCCCTGTAGTTTTTATTGTGGGGCAAAACATATAACGCAATGCAAATTTTTAGCATGTTGATTATTTAGAGCCATTAGAAGTTCAAAAATGATACAGTAAGATTTATAGGGTTAATCTGTCAAAGGTACTGGTTTGATCAACAAAGTTAATTTTTAGTTACTTAAAACATTTTTTTTTTCTTCACTAAATGTTCAGTAGTCCAGATAGATTTAGTCAGTACTGACTTGTTTGTTTTCTGTGGTTCATCTTATTTGCAGAGCAGTGGGAAGAGTTCAGTACTGGAGAGTTTGGTTGGCAGGGACCTCCTGCCCCGCGGGACGGGCATCGTCACCCGCAGACCTCTTATCCTGCAGCTGGTGCACGTAGACCCTGAGGACAGAAGAAAGACCGGCGAGGAGAACGGTATCTCTTTTTTTTCCTATTTGCATCAAAAAAGCATGAATCAATCAATGGCGATGCAGCAGTGTCCGGTACTAAATCAAAAGAGAAAGGGAAAGGTAGTGATCCGAGCCGATTTATTCCTGACTGTGTGCTGTTTGTTTAAATAAAATATGTGAACTTTCCAAACACGAAGTATCTAGTCCATACAAATCCATAGATGAAGCTTTTAGCATGGGTGTCTCTGCATTTGTGTGGTTTTGGCTACTGTAGAGTCCTATAAAGACGGCATTGCTGCAGGCTAACTCTGTCATCTCTCTTTAAACACAGACCCCAATGCCTGGAAAAATGGGCGCTTTTACAAAGGTCTCCGTTTCTTTGTTCCTTGCCCTTTTGCTTGTGTTGAGCAGCTTTGTGCTTTTCCTCATCCTGCTTCCATTATTTGATTATAAGCTTTGGTTACGCTGCCAATGCAATGGCTTAGCTTAAACAAACCCAGACTGAAGTATTTAGAGTACAATCCAGTTTCAGATTTGAAGTGGTGAGTATGAATGATTTGGGACTCTAAATGTCTGTTCACTCACTAATAACTCTCTAACAGTCATCAATTGCTATTTAAATGTCACCTTGTAGTGAAGATTCAAAATTTTTATTAGGACAGTGTGTTTTAGAATACGCTAGGTATGCTGTGCTACCCACTTGGCATTTGTTTTGTAGCAGCTTTTGTTTCATTTGCTGTACTGGTGCTTTTGAAAAATAGAGATGATATGTTGTCGTGGAACAAAAGCCTATCCTACTTGGCAGAGTAAACTCCCCGAAGAACGTGAACGTTTACATAGGTTATGTGACCCAGTATTGTGTCATTGATAATGTCATTGTCACTGTTGTTTCCCACAGGAGTGGATGGAGAAGAGTGGGGGAAATTTCTACACACCAAAAACAAGGTAAAGAAAGCAGTACAACAGATATTTGGACAAAGAATTCACAATCAGCTTTGTCACAAACATGTGTGACCCTTTGAATATTTTTAGGCATCCATTATGAACCACTTTATTAATTGCATGGATAATGTATATTTATAAACTTATTTTTCTCATGAAAAATTTCCACCTAAATCACATACGCACATGAACCTTGTTGTAAGGTTAATGAATTTGAAATATTCCAATTACATAAAAGGGAATTTCACACAAACCTTGCACTCTCGGCAAACATACAACGCTCTCTACAAATGTGCTCTCGGCTGTAAGAACATGCAGCAAGTTCCTCAAGCAATGTCAAGTGTGCTGTCCTCAAAACCAGTTTAAATTCAATAAACAACTTTTAAACTGATTACTGTACATATGTATATTTAAGATGAAAGAATCTAAGTAAAATTTCATGTTAAGATGTTTATTGTTTTAAGTCATTCTGTTCATCAAATACATTTATGCTCCATACAACAGTGCAGTAAGTTTGTTTGGTTTCATAGTTTGATGAGCAGATGAAGAAGAACAAGCCCTTTAATTTCTGTTGGTCTAAATGATCACAGGAGGTATTCTCAGTGCAGTCTGGAGTCCAGACACATGCTGTGCGTTCACCTCATGTAACATTAATGCCATTCCTTGGTGGTTTTTTTCTCTTTAATTTTATGGAAGTTTGATTTAAGTCTTTGTGAAGTAAGATATCATGATTTTTAATATCGTGTCATTGCCTTTTAGATCTACACAGATTTTGATGAAATCAGGCAAGAAATTGAAAATGAAACTGAAAGAGTTTCTGGCAATAATAAGGTAAGGAAGAGTCTTTAAGTGAACTAAATCAGATGATGTTTTTTTTTTTTAAACCTGCCTGCACACTGCCTTTTAAAAGTTTGGGGTCTGTAGGATTTTTTATTATTTGTTCTTTTTTTTATTAATACTTTTTTTTTTAGCAAGGTAGCATTAAATTGATCAAAATTGTTAGTGAAGACAATTATAATGTTACAAACGATTTCTGTTTCAAATAAATGCTGTTATTTTCAACTTTTCAGAATCCTGAAAAAAAAAGTATGATGGTTTCCACAAAAATATTAAACAGCACAACTGTTTTCAACATTGATAAATGTTTTTGAGCAGCAAATCGCCATATTAGAATAATTTCTGAAGGATCATGTGATGCTGAAGACTGGAGTAATGACTGCTGGAATTTCAGATTTACCATCACAGGAATAAATGTAATTTTTAAAATATAACAAAATAGAAACAGTTATTTTAAATTGTAATAATATTTCACAATATTAGTGTCTTTACTGTATTTTTTATCAAATAAATGCAGCCTTAGTGAGTAAAGTGAAGTGACGTGACGTGTGGCCAAGTATGGTGTCCCATACTCATTTGTGCTCTGCATTTAACCCATCCAAGTGCACACACACAGCAGTGAGTAGTGAACACACACACACAGTAGCTACGTTTACATGCACAATTTTTGGTTCAATCGGACTGAATTCATTTCCGATTGATGAATCTGAATGTAGTGTTTACATGAACGCTAAATAAAGTGATCGGCTTGATGTGCGCGTTTATATGTCACAAGCTTCAAATCGGAATAGATTTTTTTTTGACATGCGCACACTGCACAAATATAGAGTTCCTTCACTGTTTGCACATAATAACCACTCTCCTACACAGTTTCTTTATTTGTTTTTAACAGCAGAATTAATATTTATCAATGTATGGATAAATATACGTATAAACTGCTGTGCCGTGCTGCTCATATTTATCACGCCATAAAAATGCCCCTCCCCGTGCCCAAAACGGGTTGCCTGTGGATGAGAATCCAAAACAAGGACTGGTGGGAGGTTGTCCTGCTCCAATTCACAGTTGAGTTTTATAATGACAGAGAGTTTATACAACAGGACAGGCATTTATACAACATGACAGAACACGCATTTATACAACACTTTATTCAAAAGGAAGAACCGCTCGTTCCGCGCGTCTTACGTCATCATGCTATTTCTGCGTCATTGCACATGCGCAGTCCTTTCAGTTTCGAGGTTCAATCCGATCGAGTGTTTACATGCACTCTCAATCGTATTAGAAAAGGAATAAACCACCCCCTTCAATTTGATCGAAATTTAATTCTGATCGAGCTCAATCAGATCGATTAAGGTGTTTACATGAAGGCTTTTCAGTCCGATTGAGCCGTCAATCCGATTACAAACGGATTATTTGGTTGCATGTAAACGTAGCCACTGTGAACACACACCCGGAGCAGTGGGCAGCCATATTGCTGTGGCGCAGTCGTGGTGTTGAAGGTTGAAGAGCTCTGGTTGTTCACTCCCACTGAACTGATTATTGTTCACCTCCACTGACAATTCCTGCCGGTACCGAGACTCGAACCTGTGACCTTTGGTTTACCAGTCTGGCTCTCTAACCATTATGCCATTATGTTAGTGAACATAAATTCTTTCAAAAGCTTGAAAAAATTATTACCAACCCCAAACTTTTGAACTGTGGTGTAGTTCCTATTGACATCTGCAGTTTAAGAAATACAGAATGTTGTGTCATTGTTTCACAGGGGATCAGTGATGAGCCAATTCACCTGAAAGTCTTCTCACCACATGTTGTCAATCTCACACTGGTGGATCTGCCTGGCATCACAAAGGTGTTTTATTTAGTAGCTTAGCTTGGCCTGTTTGAATATTCCTTTTGTGGATTATTTTTTGATACTGACACTGATATATTCATGTTCAGGTCCCAGTGGGAGACCAGCCTAAAGATATCGAGCTGCAGATCCGCGAACTAATCTTAAAATACATCAGCAATCCCAACTGCATCATTTTAGCTGTCACTGCAGCGAACACGGACATGGCCACCTCTGAAGCTCTGAAAGTCGCCCGTGAGGTGGATCCAGACGGTCAGCATATTAACCTTTATTTTGGTCTGCTTGTGCATTTTTTTTTTTTTTTTTTGCACACAATGTCTGTACCTTTCAGTTTGTGTGATGTGATGTTTTTTCCCCATAGCTGTGTGATGCAGATTTTTTTTAGTGACACAGCATTTAAATTTTTTCATTTTCTGCTTTCAGGTCGCAGAACGCTGGCTGTAGTGACTAAACTAGATCTGATGGATGCCGGTACTGATGCAATGGATGTTCTCATGGGCAGAGTTATTCCTGTCAAACTAGGACTGATTGGAGTGGTCAACAGGTACAAAATGAAATAGATGTTTATTAATATGACTGTCAATCTATTTAAAATGTTAATTATATTTAAAAGATAACCATATATATATATATATATATATTAGGGATGTGTATCGGTATCGGGCCCGATACTGGTCTCCTGTACTCATACTCGTACTCGTTAAAATGCCCCGATACCAAACGCCGATACCACACAGCATGTGATAAGCGCCATATTCAAACAAAGAAACACCAACAACAGACAGCAGAAAGGAGTTAAGGATGTCTACTACGAAGTATATGTATGCAATGAATATAATGTTAAACATTCAGTATTAACGCCTGTATAGCTGATGTGCGCGAGCTAATAAAAAAAGCACGCTGAGTGGATTGAGCGCGCGGCGGCGCAGATGCGCAAGCTCGTCGAGTGAATATACCTTTCTCACAGACATCACTGGAAAGTTTGTAGTTCGGTCAGATATGTCAAAAACAAGTAAGTAAAACAATGCACAAGTTACCTAACGGTAGGGAGAGCGAGAGAGAGAGAGACAGA